GTCTAAACCTCTTCAAAATCCTACGATTAGTTTCGTCAAAATTTTACTATAGATTTATTATGGTTTCGGCAAAGTTTTGGCAGTTTCAGCATTTATAATAAGTTTCAGCAGTTTCGCCTTTCTCCAAAGTTTCGCCAGTTTTTTAATATAACTTTAATATAGTTTTGGCAAAATTTCGCTTTTTGGCGAAACGCCATCTTGCCTAAACCCCTAGGTTTCAGCAAGCAACCTTAAATATGACAAAAAAGTTTATAAGCAAATATAGCAGTTATTTTTAAGTGGTAAGTAAAAGAAAAAACTTAATATTTTATATACCTATAAGACATATTTTTTCATAATTTTTAGCTTTAATTTATTGTTTTTTCTTTGTAAAAAATACATGCAAATAAAAAATAATTATGATATAAAATAGTTGTAAAATGAATAATAAGATATTTTTTTTTTCAAAATAACTAATTATATATTTGTTTTTTATCTTTTAAAATTATTTTATTAGATTTATTCTACTAAAATCCTTAAATGGCAAATAAAATCTTTTAAATAAAGTAAAAGAATTTGGGATTCTCTTATAAAGCATTTTTTGGTAAAAAATAAAATTTTCAGATCGGACTTTATGCAGGTGACAAAATCGTGCATTATTATTCCTGGAGATATGCTAACGTCATCATTTTACATTCATTTGAAAGCTGAGAATTTGCTCTATCGTAAGAATCAAAGATCAGGAAAATTGGATCACTGGATGAGGCGTAATTAATGATCAAAGTCAAATCAAATTTAAAATTAAAATAAATATATTAGACGTAATTATTCACAATTCAGTGATTCAATTCATTCGATTTTAGGCTTATTAGATAGACCTCAATTTTCTCTTTCAAATGAATATAATTTCATTCGTGTAGCTTGCATCTACAGGTATTTAATAAATTTTTTTATATCAGATTTTATCAAACTTATAAAATTTTATATTAATAATATAATTGATGATTCCTAAACATCTACATATATTAAACGAATTATTTTAAATTTATTTTAAAGATAAAAGTTGGCATCACCTTAGGGAGCAAAGATCATTCAAATTGAATCACTATATGTGAAGTAATTAATGATCAAATTTAGATAAAATTCAATAATATACTGAACGTGATTACTGAACAACTAGTGATTCAATTCACTTGATTTTAGATTCATTAGATAGATCTCGATTTTCTCTTTCAAATGAATGTAAATTTATTTGTATAGATTATTTCTACAAAGAATTATCAATGATTTTGTCATGAGAGTTATATTTGATCTTTTAAATTTTAATGATATCTTATATTAAAAAAAAATTAAAAATTATATAATTAATTAGTTTTTTTTGCATTATCTAGTATAAATTTATTATTCTTATATAAATGATAATTTATATTTACTTTAATAAAATTATTTTTGTGTAAAAAAATTAGATTCCAAGGATTGGCCCATATGTGTATAAAAAATCATGATTTAGTACTTTCCAGTGAACTTTTATAAATATATTAGTTTTTATAATTAAAAGTTTATTACTAGTACATGCTACCTGAAACTATAAAAACCACTAATCTGCATTATATTACATATTTAACAGATAAACCAAATGCTGCTGACAAAAATCATAAATTTCTTTTATAGCTTCTTTTCAAATTTGATTTAATGAACAAAACTTCCTATTGGCAATTAGAATAAGTAGATGTTTATATAAATACTTATTTATTTTTTTTCCAAACTATAACATAGAATAGTATAATAATTTTTTTGGACAAGAAATTATTTTTTTTTTTTGATTAAATTAGACCAAAATGAAGGATCAATAAAAAAGGATAATTTGTATGCTACCTCATCATTATAGTTAATTTATATTGGTTTTTTATTATTTAATAGTTAGCGATTTTTATTTGTACACATAGTGTATGGACATGTATCACGTGACTTAATATATTTATATCATGTGACTTTAAACTGCGGTCCATTTTTATTATATAAAATCAATTAACCAATTACAATAAAATGCACCTAAATAAATGCGCCTAAATGTTAAATAACATTTTGACACATCTTCACGTAATACCCATACTGCTTACATTTACTGCACTTTTGACCTTTTGTATCATTTGTAAAGTCTTCTATAATATTTGAAGTATTGTTATCTTCTATTACATTACTATTGCTAACATCTTTTAGAACCCGTTTTTCTCTATTTAAAATCTTTTCAACGCTTGATATTAGCCTTTTCGGTGGTGACCCTTATGCTTGATAACAACGGGATTTATTTTCAAAACCTTTATTTATGATGTAAAAAGTGGACTGAAACTGGAAAACTTTACTGATGTTATTACATACTGGGATAAAAGGATATTGTTGTAGGAGATCGTTCGGTTCAACATCAGGATTTATATACCATCGATTCAAAATCATACATATGTGGAAGGTGGCGAATCTAGAGTAGGTACCAACACGGAAAAAGTGCTGACATACCAATCTCTTATTAATTAAAAGAAAACAAGTGCATAAATGCGTGCCTTCATTGAGTAGAATTACGTAATGTCTGATTCTCTGTGTGCTGGTCGCTCGTATGTTCCATACTTTGAGGATTGCTTCCATCGGTATAGTTGAAATCAACGATCACAAAATGATTTGTCTTGTATCTTGCTCTTGTTCTCTAATTCCTATACTTATTTCTTCATTATCAGTTTCTATCTATAATCA